CAAGTGGAGAGAATCTGAGGTCCAGTGGAGAGAGGCTAAGGCAGAGTGGAGAGAAGCTGGTGTTTAGGGGAGAGAAGAGGGGATCCAGGGGAGAGAAGCTGAGGACTAGTGGGGAGGATTTGAGATCCACTGGAGATAGACGTTGGTCAATTGCAGAGAAGCTGGGATCCAGTAGGGAGAAGCTGGGGACTAGTGGAGGGAAGCTGGAGGGTTTAAGAATGGGGAGCATAAATGAAAAGAAAATTGAAAGAATGGTAGAAGTTACCAGTGATGAAAGATTGATAGAAATTACTGATGCTGAGAAGGCAATTCCTTCTGAAAGGGTAGAGGAGACTGATGAAGAGCTACAAGAGACTGAGAAAGGGGTGGAGGTTGAGGAGGATGTCTTGGATGGAAGGAATGATAATACTGATGAATCTGTTTCTATGGAAGAGAAAGAGATTACAGAGGAAGGTACTGATGAAGGAGGCACATGAAGGATTTAAGCAAAAGAAGGAAAGAGAAGCAGCTAGCGGAAGTATTGCCAAGTCAAAAAGGAGAAATTAGAGCCAAGCAGAACATTATTGACCCAGGAAAGGTAAATATGAGAAAGAAGGGAGAGCATCTGAGCTTAAGAGAATTGTTACTGGGAATGAAGGCAGAGACCAGGACCAAAGGAAGTGAAGAAGAGTGATAAAGAGTGAAATGGAACATTGTGAGAAGAAAGAGAAGATTTATTAGTGTGTTGATAGAGGAAAAGTGGATGTTGGTTTCTTGGAGAAGAGCTGTGACTGAGGAGCTTGTCGAGAAAGGTTTGAGAAATGGATTTAGGATGGGCTAGAAGAATGTAGTTTAACATATGATGGGGTTTATGAGATGTAGGAGAATGCATAGGGAGAAAAATGGGAAGTTACAGCCAGATAAGGATAGAGAATGAAGGTTGTGAAAGAAGATGCAGGCTGGAGTAAATGAAGACAATTTCTGAAAGAGGTCCGAAAGAAAAATGAGGAGCTCCAAAGTGACAAAAGCCAGAGCAGAGATAAGAAAATAAAGAAGTGAAGAAAAAAGTAAGAAGCCAAATCCCATAACAGTGATTATGTTTGTTGGATTTTAAAGTTTTTCCTTCACTGTGTCTGTACCCACTTCTCCCACGTAGCTGATTTTACAATCTAATGGGACAGGCCTCTCACAGGGCCCTGTATATCTGGACCAGGCCTATCCTCACTGCTCTTCCCTCTAACTAGCCCCCAAGTTGTGTCCAGAATCATTGCTGGGCTGCACTGTTTTAATCACTTCACTATGATCACCATTCCTGCAAATTGCCCTTCTCTCCATATCACGTTTGAATTGCTAGGACTTGCTTTGACATTGTCTCAATTATTTTGTATTATTATTATTGCTTTCATCTTTGACTTTTGTTTTTGGTGGGGGTAAGTAATTAGATCTATTTATAATTTTTTTTAAGAGGAGGTAGCGGGGATTGAACTCAGGACCTCATGCATGCTAAGCATGTGCTCTTTCACTTGACTTATACCCTCCCCTGTCATCGTTGACTTTTAATTATTTGTTCTGATCGCATGGACTTTTCCCCTGTGTCTGTCTCCTTTGGGGCTTTCACATGTCATCCATCATCCACTCTCCTCCCCGGGAAGAGAGGGGACTCCCTAAGTACCTACGGTCAAGACATCAGTATCAAGACTTAGGCTCTTAAATCCTGTTTTGTCTCGGGTAGGGATCTAAAAGGTGGTGAAAAGCAGTCATGGATATGTAAGATGAAAGGAATACTTCACCCTTTCTCCTCCACATGCTTTTTAAATTCTCTAAAATTTCTAAAGGGTAGAAACTTCATAATATTGTATCATAACACATTTATAATAGCCTCGTGTTTTTTAATTGTTAAGTTTTCTACACACCCTTTCCTAATATTCCCTAGCCTTCAAAAGGTCAGTAAACCCCATGCTATATTTTTGTTCATATAATCAAATCTAATAGATGTATCAATTCCATTTTTCACGCTGGCAATTTCCTTTTTGGAGCCCTTTGTCCTCTGGGGCTGATGGGAGAGCAGCTGCATTCTAGGCTTGCTCCAGAGTTGCTTTCCTGAGCTTCATAACACTTCTCTGTTTCTCTGTGTTGGATCTCCTACTGCCTGGATCTTAGATCTTCCTTTTCTGTTGTTCTGTAGCCTCATTTTGGTCAGCCACATCATCTAATAGCTTCCAGAGAAAATGACTGTGGGAGGTAAACTTTGTGATACCTTATCTGTCTGAAATATTGATTCTTCTCTCATGTTTGACTGATAGTTTAACTGGGTATGGGATTCTAGGTTGGCGATGTTTTTCCCTTAGAATTTCAAAGACATTTCTCCCACTCTCTGGTAACTTCCAAGTGCTTCTGTGATTGGATATTGGAGCCTGAATTATAGCTTTTAACTTTTTTTCTACTTTTGCCCCTCTATTTTTGTTCTACTCTCTGGATAGAAAACTTTAATTTTATCTTCTTGTCCTTTCTACTGGATTTTCCGTTTTAACTCTCTTGTTTGCTTGATTGCTTCTTTTCTTTTACACATGACATTTCTGTTTTTGTTTCTTATACCTGTTCTCTTAGATCTCTAAGGGATTTTCCTGTTTTTAAGTCTTCACTGTTTTTCACTATTTCCTCTGAATTCCCCTCCTTCCTTTCAGGTGTGTGTATGTGTGTTGTTGTTGGAGGTTTTTCTCAAATGTTTGATCTTTGTCTATTTATATTTAAGAACAGGGTACTAGGCAGAACTAACTGGGAACTCTGTGTGCACAGATGGGGCTTTTTAATTGATGGACTTCATTCTAACATGGAGCAGCAGGGTTTTGGTTTTGTTTTTTGGTATCTTCAAATGTCAGAATCTGTACATCACACTGCTGGGACTATTCAGTTTCTCCAGAGAAGAATTCTCCAGTCTCTTATCTGGGGAGTATGTGCATGGCCATCAGTGCTGACGTCCTGGCTGCAGGACAGGGGAATAGGGTTGTGGATCCCACACCCAGCAGATATATTTTCACCCAGCCCTTTTGTTTTCAGCTCAGTGCTCACCACTAGTCTCAGCCGTGCCTGGTGTCCCTGAGTCGATGCTTTGCAGATTCAGTTTCTCCAGAGAATAACCCTCTGATACCCCACAAGGGGCCAATGCTAGGCTAATAAGGGTTGGAGAGGGGATTTATGAGTTTAACTGCTTTATATACAGTCTTGTAAACATTTCCCTGTTCTCAGCTCCATGCCTTTCTCCTTTTACCTGAGGTATCTGGCCCATCCACGTCCTGAACTTTGGTGGAGGGACAAGTAGAGTGAGAATATAAACTTTTCTTGTTTATATTCCCCAATTTGAGCATTAAATCCCAGCATCCTCCACTCTGCTAAGGTGGTTCCCCCTCCAACTCCAAAAGTTTGCTCACCCTTCTGATCCACTGTCATCTGCTCTCCTGCCCTCTTTGTTTTTACGGTTTTACACCAAATGTATTCCTTATCTTCATCTTGGTGGTGTTTGGAATTAAACGTATGTATTTGTTCAATCTGCTGCGTTTGACAAAAAGTCTCCTTCCTCCATTACCTTTTCATTGTTCTTAACTGAATGCTCAAAGAATAACCCTAATTTTTTTCCTGAGGGTACTTTGCTATTTTCTTTACGACTTTTCCTGCATTCCAGTCGCTAACACAATGGACAGACAAACTGCTATTGTACTGCTACTGCAGTGTGCCACAAACTGTCCCAAATCAGTTATTGTAGACATGTTGTCACTTCTCTCATCTTAAAACAAACAACCAACCTCTCCTGGCCCCACATTCCCCTCTAGCTATGACCATTTTTCTTCCTCCCTGTGGTAGGCACAAAAGTGGCCCCTCAAAGATACATATTTACTTCCTAATCCCGGGAACCTGTGGATATCACCCACGTGATGTAAGAGTGAATGCTACCTTCTAGAGTGAAAGATGGGCTTAGGTTAAAGATCTTGAGAGGAGGAGTTTATTCTGTATTATCGGAGTGAGCCTGATATGCCACCACAAGTGTCCTTATAAGAGAGAGACAGAAGGAGATCAGACACCCATAGAAGAGGAGGAGGCAGTGTGACCTCGGAGGCAGAAACAGGGGCGGTGCAGCCACAAGTCAAGGAATGTTAATAGCCACCAGAGGTTGGAAGGGCAAAGAACGACTTCTTCCCTAGAACCTCTGCAGGGAGTGTGGCCTCTGCCAATATCTTGATTTGAAGACTTCTGGTTTCCAGAACTGTGAGAGAAGAAATTTCTGTGTTTTTAAGCCATCCAGCTTGTAGTAACTTGTTACAGCATCTCTAGGAAATTAATACACTCCCTTCACAGCAGAATTCCTCCAAAAAATCATCTATGCTTACTTCTTCCCCTTTTCTTTTTATCCAGCTTTTTGTTTTGGATATTTTCATATATACAGAAAAGTTGAAAGATTAGTGCAATAAGCAATAAATATTCTCTTCTAGGTTCAACAGTTGATACCAGTTTGCCCTATTTGCTTTATCTATTTCAGTACGTAGCTCCTAAGAATAAAGACATTCTCTTACATATCCACAATACCTAAGTAAATTAAAAAATTTTTAATTTAATAAATTAAAAATTAAGAATAATTCCCTAACATCACCTAACTTTCCATCTATATTCAAATGTCCTTCCTTGTCACCAGAATATCTTTTTTAACTTTTTTCCCTTGGCCCAGGATCTAATCAAGGGCTTGTACATTGAATGGGATTGTTAACTCTACATTAATCTCCCTGTTATTTTGTTTTTAACAACTTTGACTTTTTAACGAATCCTGACCTGTTTTCTTCTTGAAGGTCAGCATTCTGGATTTATCTGATTGTGTCCAGATGATGTCATATAACCAGTTCTTCTCTCTCCCGCAGTCCTTGTATACTCAGAATTGGGTCTTTAGGTCCCAGTTCCTTTCTCTGGAACCTTCATCGACCTGTGACTCAGAGTTTCCCTTCTGTCATTTACTGTCTATCTCTCCTTACTAGAATGTAGGCTGTGTGAGGGATCAGTGTGTGTCTGTTGGGTTACCTGGTCTAGTCCGCTGTCTAACCCACACGTCGTAGACCCTCAGCAGGTATCTGTGGTGTGACTCAGTCCTTCACATTCAATGACTTTACCTGTCTCAATACTATTTAACATCTATTGATAAATGGCGGGAACAATTTACTCTGTTCCTTAGCGTATCTCACATTGTTCGAAGCCTCAAATGCCTGAAAATGCCTTATTCCGCACTTGTCTAAGCTTGTCTAGGTATAGCATTTCCCCAGCAGTCTGCAGGCAGGCCCCTTTGTTATCTCCCTTCCAGCACGGCCATCGAGAGTCTAAATCTATTTCATGCCTGAGCCACTGTACGCGACCAGGTGTTCTGTGCACGTGGCCTGTTTTCTTCCTGTCTCCAATGTTTCGGCTTATTCATCGGTCAGAAGTTTACAGTTTGCTCCCTTCTTCCATTCTCTAGGAACTCCAATCTCATAGTTAAGACAATAAAATAGAGATATTGGGTGTGGGCAGAGTCTTAAAGATAAGCTACAGAAGGCTCAATGCTAGCAGTAGGATCTTTTTAACCAAGGATGATGACTAACGTGTACTGAATTCTTGTAACCATCAGAATAACTTCATGGGCACCATGCTAAGCGCTTTACGTGTCCTCTATCATTTATTCCTTCCAACACCTCTCTGAGATAGGAACTGTTACTCCATGAGATCTGCCAGGTAGAAACTGCCGGGGCTCTGAGCACAGGCAGTCTGGCCCCAGACCCGCACTGGAAACCGCTCTGCTGAATTGCCTCTGTTCTTACTAGCCAAGCCCCACAACTCGCTTTCCTAGCCTGCCAAAGCAAGGTCTGCCATCAGGCCTGGGGGGCGGGGAGTGAGGCTGTGGAACAACCCTTCCATTCATTCAGTGAACGCTTGTTGAATGTGCGCTTCAGAGGCAAGTTTTCCAGAATGTAAATGCCAAAAAACAGTGATGTTTATTTTCTTTCCCAGATCTCTGCCTTCCCGAGATCATCCACTTCTGGCCTCCTCTGATGATTATCTGAGTACCGAAAAATGGTTGCCTCTCTTATGAGAGGCCCTCACGGGCATGAGGTCAAGACGGGCCGTTTTCGGTGCAGTGGGCCTCTCAGATTGCGCTGCACAGTATATAAATTGTGAACCAAATAATCAGACTTGTTCTTCGGCTGGATTACACTTTCTCCCGGAGTATCAGATGCATTCCACTGAGACCACAGAAAGAAAACACAAAGATCAAGAAACCGTGACACCAGCTTGTAAGTGCAGATATTTTCAATCATCTGGGTAGCTGGAACTTCATATATATATAAAATACCATTTTTTACTAAAATTAACCAGATGTACACATTTTGGGGAATCTAGGGCTCCTGAGTGATTTTAAGTATTTTTATTATTCTTTCTTTGCATATTCCCAAAGATCCCTGTTTCTAACAAGAAGTTATATTAAAAGTGATATTATTGTTTGGCTTTTGTTCAAATGCCCACTTGGTCCCCTGAATTCATTCAGCCGACACTGAACACTCACTCTGTGCTAACTGGGAATGCAACAAATATAAAGCACCTGCTTCTGGCCCTTGGCTTCCTGTCTCCTGTTGAGACAGGTGTCTCAGTGTCAGTTACCATGCATTGTGAGATGGGTTTGAAGGGCCTATGTACTAAGTGTGGTGGGAAATGCAGAGGCGGGAGGGCCCGACTGTGGGGCCTGGTTGGGGCCATGATCAGAGAAGGCTTTGTGGTGGAGATGACCATTTGGGGCTGGACTTAGAAGGGTGAGAAGGGGTCGACACTGGGTGAGGACAGGACAAACAAACATTCTAAGCAGAAAGAATAGTGTTGCTAATGTATGAGGACCAGGAACCATGTGGCTTATTCAGGAAAAGGCAAGAAAAGTACTTGGGTGTGGCTGGAGCAGGGAGAGGGTTATAGCCACCTTCTGTAGGTAGGGTATGAACTGGAGGAGAGCCTGGGGCCAGCATTGAATGCAGGATTAAGGCAGTTAACCTTTGTTCTGTAGGTGACAGGGAGAATGATGTCATCGGATCTTTGCTTACATAACTTGCCAAACCAAGAGGTGGAATCAGCTGGGTGCAGCATGAGGGTGGGTCAAAGTGGGCACTAAGTAGGTGCTGGGCACAGAGTAGGTGCTCAGTAAGAAGGGGGCTTGTTTATTAGATCACTGTTATGCACAGTTCAGGGCTGAAAGGATGAGGCTATGAACTAAGGCAGAGAAAGTGGGGATGAAAACAGGAGGACAGGTTGGAGAGAGTTTTAGAAAACTTATTTAACAGGATTTGCTGATTAATTGTGAATGGATGGTGAGGAGGGAGGAACCAGGCTTACAGCTGCTAATAGGTGATATCTGTCACCTTACTTTGCAGGCGGGAGCTTTGCCTGCAGTATCTCATTTAATCCCATAAGATCCATGTTAGAGGGGTTGTACTGTTATCTGCATTTTATAGATGAGGAAGTTGGGGCCGAGAGGGGTCAGTCAGAGTGACAGGCACGTACGCTGTGGTAGTAGTTAGGATCCGAACTCAAAGGAGGGAGGTGAAGCGACCACCGTAAGAAGCAGTTAATGAGCGGCAGATTCAGGCTGGAACCCACTGGAACCACCTACTGCTCCCCAGATTCACAAACAGGCTGCCTAAGCACCGCATCCGGCCACAGACGTGCAGCGTTTGGCCCATAGTATATTCTTAAAGCAGTTTTTAAAACTAATTGCTAATGTTTAAAAATCTAGAGTTTATAATAAAACCTGGGTTTCTGGTTTTTCTTGAAAAGTAAGAAGATCTGGTCACACTGGGCCCATACAGTCACCCTTGCTGCCTGTCTGCATCCCCTTCTGCTGGGGCCTGGCTCCCCAGTTGGCCAGAGCCCGCCAGCCTGTCTGGGTCCCTTTGCAGGTGCCTGAGTTTGCCTGTCCAGTCTGATGCCAGGCTGTGCTGGTGCATTTGATCTCATGTGAAGCCCAGGCCTCCGTTGATGGCCAAATACTCTTTTGGAATGTTAGGGAATAAGAGATAAAAACAATCATGTGTTTTGCTTTGTTTGGTTTCTCTCTTTCATGCTGTGGGAATTGAGAATAACGAAATACCCACTGGTGCTTGAAGCCCACAGGGAAGAGGGTTACACAGAGGCGGTGTAGGCCAAGCTGAACGGTCGTAGTTCCTGAAACCCGCACCAGTTACAATGAAATAGTGATTGTACCACGGGAAACAGCGAAAGCAGCGGCCGCTCTACAAATCATGATGTGATTTTTTTCTGTTTAATTTGTTTTGTAATTAATAATTTGATTGAATTTTGAACTGTGTACTTTGGACGTAGTACAAGGAAGCTTCTAGAGAAAATATATGTGCGTATATGCTTGTGCATGTGCGTGTGTGCGCGCTAGCATACGTAGCTTGAAATTATCTGCAGAAATTCAGTTTCAGAACTTATTTTTAAAGTCTTATGATTTACTAAAGTTTAAAAACATGGTTTTCATGGTTTCTGTACCATTAGGTTAGAACGTGAAGCCCAGGATGGCAAATAGGTATTTGTCCCTTTTGAGTGTTTTGTTTCATTTAAGATGTGACAGTCCCCGTGGCAGCAGTCAGGTTGGACAAATGATGGATTATATGCTTGTATGAGTTTGTTTGCAATTTGTAAACTGCACTTAGAGACACAGGTTCAAACAGGTGCAAGAAATAGCTGACACCAGAGCTTCAGGAGTTTGACCCCTAATCTGTGTCCTTTGTGCGACCCCAGGCAGTTTCCCACCACACCTGGCTGCCCGATGCAGGACCTGGAGGAAGGGTGCTGCTGCCCATGTGTTTCTCAGAGGCCACTGAGCACTATTCTGGGATGGCCAGTGAGTCTCAGAGGCTCATCATCCACCTCCTAAAGGTCATCCGCCCTACCCTGACCCAGCTCTCAAGAGGCCAGCCCAGTAAGCTCTCCCCGCAGGGCCAGGGCTGATGGCATGTGGTTTGCATTGCAGATCACTTTGGTCTCGGGAGCCATTTTCTACCCAGAGTACTCAGGGCTGGCAAGGCCACACTCTGGTGCTCCTTGGACTCTGACCTCTGCCCAGCGCATTCTCCTTCCTCCTTCTCCTCCTCCTCAGGGGCTCCCCAACCCAGTGTGCACGCCTAGGGTGGGACCCGGATGTGTGTTGTGCCCAGGTCTTCCACCCTCGCCTGTACCTCCCAGTATCCTTGTGTCTTACTGATATCATATAGACAGGTGCCCAATACTAGGTGGTTGGCACTGTGCTGGGAGCCAAGGATACAACAGACAGGTGTCCTGTCCCTGGGGACAAGAGGAGCACTCAGGGACTCATTCATGAACCAGGTGGCACTTTGTTACAGTACTCACACAACTGGTGTTTTATCTCAGTCCCATTGTAATTTCATTCTTGTGGTATGGCCTTTAAAAGCCTTGGCCCCAAAAGATTCAACCAAGTTCATGGTAAAATTCTAATACTTATTCATTCACTTGACAAATATTTATTAAGCACCTGTTATTTGCCAGGCATTATTGCAGAAGTCAGGATTGTAACGGAGAGCAAAACTGACAAATATCCCTGTTCCCTTGGAGCTCACGCTGTTGTGGAAGGAGCCAGAAAAATTGTGCCAATATGTCACATGAGCTAAGAATTTTGTGGGAAAATCCCCAAGCAGGGTAAGGGAGAGAGAATGACAGGGTGGGAAGGCAGGCTGCTCTTTTAGAGAAGGTGGTTGGGGAAGGCCTCTCTGATGAGAGTACTCTCCAAGCAGGACTCAGAGGAGCTGAGAAGCAGCTGTTTGAAAGAAGTCCTTTTCAAGCAGGAAGCTGTGGGGACAGCGCCTCCCAGTGGCAAGTGCACCTGGCCTGTCTGCAGAATAGGAGGTCGCTGACCTGGACATCCAGGCTCCTCAGTTTCCTCCTCTGAAAATCTATGGGCTTGTGGCAAGGAACAAATGAATAATTTATGCCAACCATCAGGCACTGTATCAGAGTCATTCTCTTTGTATTGACTTCATCAAGTCTTTGTAGAGTGTCTAAATCATCATGGACCATAATTATTATATTACAATTCTGTCCTTTCATTTTTTTATTATTAAGGTGAAATTCACATAACCTATAATTAACCGTTTGAAAGTGTAGGATCCAGTGGCATTTCATACATTCACACTGTTGTGCAATCACTACCTCTGTTTAGTCTCAAAACTTTGTCGTCACACTGCCTTTCGTTTTTAATATTAATCTATGTTACCACTCTTGAAAAAAATTTTCCCCATATCTGTGCCCTTTCTGTTCTGTTTCTGATTGGCCTTCACCAATTCCTATGATTCATCATTTACTCAACAGATATTTATCACGTGTCTGCTGTGCAGTAGGCACTATTCTAGGTAAATACTAGGACACACACATCCCTGCATTTAGGGAACTCATAATCTGGTGGGGGATTTAGAGACTGAACATAAATTATCAGAAAATTAACTTAAATGATAATAAATGCTTTGAAAATTATGTTGAAAACATTTGTGAAAGTATTAAAGCTTCTAGAAGTGAGATGCCACTAGCTATTAAAGCTTAGAATCACATGACTATATTGTTTTTAAAATTGTGCTCTCGGTTCAGAGACGCTCAAGAGAAAGATCACCCCAGGAAAGTGGCCTGGATTATGTCAGAGCTGTGTAGGAAGGCAGGAAAAGGTAGAAAACAGTGGTACTTCACTCATTTCCTCCTGATAACAACCCTTGGAGTT